TGTGAGCCTTCCAACCTTCTAAGTATTCCTTTATATGTAGTTCAGAGTTCTGGGACCATCCCCTGAACCTGCTTGGTTGGGTATTCTCTGTTATTGTTGGCGGAGCTCTCTGCTATATGTCCACCCGATCCACCATCTTGTTTGTTCCTCCCTATAGGCTTTTCACATCTGTTTCTGCACTTCTTTTCACTCATCAGTCGACTAACTCACTCTCCATTTTGTAAAATCCAGTTCATTCATTTGCTCATTAGACAAATATTTGTTGAGTATCTATGATGTACCAAGGAACCCTGGTAGTGGGGTTACTTGGTTGCTAATCAAAAGGTTGGTGGTTCAGACCCACAATCTGCTTCCGTAAAGATTGAAAGCCTTGGAAACTCTATGGCACAGTTTTAATCTGTTAACTGAGTAAGAATCAACGCAACAGTAACAGGTTTTATCGTGTATTAATAATAGCACCCATCATGGTGCTAGGGGTGTAGCAATGAATAAAATAGACATATTCCTGCCATTTATAAAGGTTGAATGTTCTGTAATGTGTATTACAAGTGTTAGATATTAGATAGTTGGTGATAAGTGGTCTGGAGAACAGAGTAGGAGAAGGGCAGGATAGCAGCCAAGGAAGACCTCGCTGATGAGATGATGTGTGAACAGAGCTGAAGGAAATGAGGGAGTAAACTATGAGACTGTCTAGAAGAAAAATGTTGTAGGCTGCGAGTGTAACAAAATGAGGCAGAAGCTTACTTGACTCAGTTATTACCCTCCAAAAAATTTTCCCTGAAGCATTGATTTCCTGCATGCTTTTGTACTTCCCTTTAAAGTAGCCCTTATTAAGCCATAGCTGTCCTATTTGCCTCCCTAGGATGTGGGTTTCTTGAGAACAGGAGCCTCTAATGCTTGCTCAGCAGTGAGTAATCTGCGCTATTTATTAAATACGTGAATAAGACCTTGTGTTGTGTTGTTGTTCTGACTCATAGTGACCTATATAGGGTTTCTGAGAAGCAGCTGGTGAGCTGGAACTGCAGACCTTGTGGCTCAAACTGACTTTGCAGTCCAGTGCTTATCCTACAGTGCCACACCAGGACTCCCTATTACAGCCTGATCATTTTTTCAAATGAGTTGTAAGATAGGACTTGGATGACAGTTTGGGGAAAAGAAAAATACAAAGACTTCCAAAACTGGATTGGTCTGTTTCTGGCCTGATTATCATCTTTGGGCCTTTTGAAAAGTAGACCACCTGGTTTTCTTAAGAAGGGTTTCACCAAGAGCAAACTGGAAACCAGAGTAGTTAGCTCTTTCATCTGATGTCAGCTACCCTGAGTGTTTGCTGGTCTCAGTTACCTAGAAGCTTGGGCTGTAATAGATCTGCTGTTAGAGTCAATGAAGCCACACACACACATAGGTTAGACTCCAGTTGGAAACAGATCCTGTTTGAAGCTACGTCCTTTGAAAGCCTACACCCACTTATAGGATGGACTTGTTAAGTGTCCTCTAGTTGGTTCTGAGTCGTTATTGACCCTGTGTACAACAGAAGGAAGCACTGCCCATCCTCACAATTGCTGTTTATGTTTGAGCCCATTGTTGTTGACACTTGTTGGAGGGTCTTCCTCTTTTTTCATTAACCTTCCAGTCTTCCAGGCATGATGTCCTCCTCCAGGGACTGGTCCTTTCTGACAACATGTCCAAAGTACAAGAGACAACGTCTTTCAATTGTTGCTTCTAAGGAGCAATCCGGCCATACTTCTTCCAAAACAGATTTGTTCATTATTCTGGCAGTCCATGGTAGTTTAAATATTCTTTACCAATACTGTCATTCAAATGCATCAATTCTTCTCCAATCTTCCTTATTCATTGTCCAGCTTTCACATGCATATGAAGCAATTGACAGTACATGGCTTAGACCAGACTCACATAGTGAGTCTTTAACACTTAACACATTAAAGAGATCTTGTGCAGCAGATTTGTGCAATGTAAATCTGATTTCTTGGTTATTATTATAGATCCAAGTAAAATGAAATGTTTGACAGCTTCAGTCTTTTCTCTGTTTATCCGTATGTTATTTTTGGTTTAGTTGTGAGGATTTTCGTTTTCTTTACATTGAGGTGCAGTCCATACTGAAGACTGTAATCTTTGATCGTCATTAGTGTGTATTTCCAGTCTTCTTCATTTCCAGCTAGCAACGTGTATCACCTGTACAGTGCAGGTTGTTGATGAGTCAGTATTCCTCCAATCCTGATGCCATATTCTTCCTGTAATCCAGTTTCTCACATTATTTGCTCAGCATACTGATTGCGTATGGTAAAAGTATATAACCCTTACACACACCTCTTTTGATTTTAAACCACACAGATTCCCTTGTTCTTTTCTAAGGACTGCTTCTTGGTCTATGTACAGCCTACTTATGAGCACAGGAATTCCCATTGTTATCTATAGTCTATTAGGAGTCACACTGTTGAATGACTTTGTACATTCAATAAACATAAGTACACATCTCTCTGGGATTCTCTGCTTTTACCCAAGATCCATCTGATGCCACAATGATAATCCCTTGCTCTATTCCTTCTGAATCTGGCTTGAATTTCTGGCTGGCAGTGCCTTGTTGATGTACTGCTGCAATCGCTGTGGAGCTATTTTGAACAACATTTTACTTGCATGTGATAGTAATGATATTGCTCAGTGATTTCCGAATTGCATTGGGTTGCCTTTCTTTCGAATGGGCACAATTATGGATCTCTTCCAATTGGTAGGCCAGGTAGCTGTCTTCCAAATTTCATGGCATAGATGAGTGAGCATCTAGAGTTCTGCAGTAGTTTGTTGAAACTTTTCCATTTGTATTTCATCAATTCTTGGAAACTTATTTTTTGTCATTACCTTCAGTGCAGCTTGGACTTCTTCCTGCAGTTCCATCAGCTCTTGATCATATGCTACTTCTTGAAATTATTGAACGTTGACCAATTATTTTTGGTACAACAACTATATATTCTTTCCTTCTTTTGATGCTTTCTGTGTCATTTAATATTTTGCCCTTAGAGTAGTTCCATATTTCAAGTTGAGGCTTGAATTTTTCTTCAGTTCCTTCAGCTTGAGAAAGCTGAGTGTGTTTTTCCCTTTTGGCTATTTAACTCGAGGTCTTTGCATATTTCATTGTAATATTTTACTTTGTCTTCTTGAGCTACCTTTTGAAAACTTGTATTCAGCTCTTTTACTTTATCATTTCTTCCAGTCATTTAGCTTCTCTATATTCAAGAGCAAGTTGCAGAGTCCTTCCTGAATCCTGACTTTTTAATGACTTTTTGCTTTTTCACATATGATGTTCTTGATGTCATCCCACAACTCCTCTGGTTTTTGGTCATTAGTATTCAGTGCATCCACTCTGTTCTTGAAATGAACTCTCAATTTAGGTAGGATATACTCAAGGTAATATTTTAGCTTTCATGGACATGTTTTAATTTTCTTCAGCTTCAGCCTGAATTTGCATATAAGCAATTGATGATTTGTTCCACAGTTGGTCCCTGACCTTGTTTTAGTTGATGATATTGAGCTACCCAACAGTTTCTTCCAACAGATGTGGTCAATTCAATTCCTGTGTATTCCATCCATTTATGTTGTAGAAAAAGTTATTTTTAATGAATAAGTTGTTGGTCTTCCAAAATTCTACCAGATTCTCTCCCCACCCACCGCTCACCCCCCCCCCAATGTCATTTTTGTCACCAAGACCATATTTGCCAGTTCGGATCCTTTCTCTTTGTTTTGAACTTTTGCGTGTTAATTACCAGCAATTATCAATGCATCTTGATTGTAATTTGATCAGTAGGATGGAACTGACATTGGAAGATAACAAAGAAGATTGCTGCTTTGCTGACTTTCTAGTAGTGGGAGGAAGTTTCCCCTGAGAATTCTTAGCCATAGACATTCCCTCTTTTGGATTTGGATGTATATTTACATTACCTGAATGGCTCAGAAATCTCAAGCCAAAGATTGATATAAAAAGATCCATTCCAGGCTGTTAATCCAGCTGAAGTGTCTGGCAGAAGCAAATGGAGAACTTCTCTGGAGAGATACATACTTGACATATGCCGTACAGGATCCCCACAATCCACAGATTAGAGTTTTTTTAATTTTAAATTATTAACAACATCGATATATTCATGGAGAATAGATTTAAAAAATAACAATGCATATTACTTGCTTTGCTTTGTGCTGTTGAGATCATGATTGTGTGAAAAAATAAACATTAGAATACATCTGGACTTCTTGTGCTCTGCAGAAATGAAATGATAGACAGAAATTATATGCAACTGGCATTTGTGTATGTCCTTGCAGAGGCCATGGAAGATGGGACATCATGTTCCTTTAGCTGCCCGCTGTTCCAGCAGGAAGACAGGAGAGGCCTCACCTACCGGATCCCAGCCCTGCTCTACATCCCCCCTGCCCGAACCTTCTTGGCCTTTGCAGAGAAACGCTCCACGTGCAGAGATGAGGATGCTCTCCACTTGGTGCTGCGGCGAGGGTCGAGGACTGGGCAGTTAGTTCAGGTGACACTTCATGCTGTATCTGGGCCAGAACTTCAGTTTTTCTTTAGAATATCTTAAAGGTCTGTGCCATTGCCCTTCAGTGCAGGGAAAGCTCTGTGTGAATAGCTGAGGAGAAAGAAGACAAAAGCACAGTAAAAACTGGCTCTCGTTTACTGATTGCCAGTTGGTCTGTGGTGGGAGAAAGATGAGGCTTTCTGCTCCCGCAAAGATACACACCCTCGGAAACCATGTATAGGGTTGTTGTGAGTCAGAATCGACTTGATGGCACTTAACAACAACAAACAACAACACAATTGTGTGTCAGGCTGAGTTAAAGCATTTTATACATATTGTCTCATTGAATACTCTCAGCTACTCTCTGACATAGGTACTATTGTCAATCATATTTTACAGATGAGGAAACTGAGGCTCATAGGTTGCTACTTATTCAAGGTTATACAGCTAATAAAGCAGTAAAAGCAGGCTTCAAACTCCCAATTCTGAATCCATGGTTCAGGTTCAGGTTCAACTAATATGTGGTGTGCTTTTCATTCATTATCTTCTTTAGTGCTCCCAAGCTACCCAGAAAGATAAGCGTTGCTAGTTTTTCTGATGAGGGTCCTGTTGCACCAAGACTTACAACTTTTTAAAGATCACAGTTAGTAGATGGGGTGGAGAATTTAAGAATAACAAACTGTGTACTACAAGTAAATGCTTTAATGAGGTATGAATTATCCCTATTTCAAAGGGGGAAACTGGGGCTCAAAGAATTAAAGTGACTTCCTTCAGACATAGACCTAGTAAGTGACAGAATCGAGCTTGGAGTCCTTGTTCAGAGTAATGCATTTTTACTACATGATTAGTAGGGGAAGTTGCCTTTGCGCTCTATCCAACCCCATTTTTCTCCTTGTTGCTTTTATTTATCTCCCAGAGTTGTAGTGAAGATGAAATTAGAAAATGGATTTTTAGTCTCTTATAAACTTTGAAGTGCTGTATCAGTGGTTTTATAGTAGGTACTTTAATCTCCCTAACCTGCCTTGCTCTTCTACCTACAGATGTTTGAGATCTCACCATTAACGCTTCATGTCCATAGCTGATGGCTTGTTCTGCTGTTGCTGTGCAAACGCTATTCTGCTGAAGGTGGGCCTTGCCAGCAACCCCTGTCCTTGTTTTTTAATGACACTTTGGCTCACATTTCCCTGTGGGGAACTTTTTTTTGCTTCAGGAATTCTAGTTCCTGCTCTTTCATATCCTCCAGAACAGACCTTGCCTGTGGCCACATTGCCCTGCTTTCTACCACAGACAGTTGACCGTTAAGCAGTTTTTATGAGAATGAATTTATTACATAACCTCACCACCCGGTAGTCACACAGTCACAAACTTGACCACCTTAGCTCATTCTACTGTTGCTTGATTTTATTTATTTTTAGATTTACTTAATTGTAAAATCTTGGCATTAGAAAAATCATCTAACCCATTGTTTTTTCTAATATAGAAATATTCTGTATTCCATGTTGTTAGGTGCTGTTGAGTCAGCTCAGACGCATAGTGACCCTATACACAATAGAACGAAACGGTACCTGGTCCTGTACCAGTCTCACAGTTGTTACTCATGAGCCCATTGCTGCTGCCACTGTGTCAGTCCATTTCATTGAGGGGTCTTTCATTTTCGCTGACTCTCCTCCACTTTACCAAGCGTAATGTCCTTCTCTAGGGACTGGTCCTGCCTGATAGTGTGTCCAAAGTATGAGAGACAAAGTCTTGCCATCCTGGCTTCTAAGGAGCATTCTGGCTGTACTTCTTCCAACACAGATTTGTTTGTTTTTCTGGCAGTCCATGGTACTTTCACTATTCTTCTCCAGCACCATAACTCAAATACATCAATTCTTCTACAGTGTTCCTTACTCACTGTCAATGTTCACATGCATATGAGGGTATTGAAAATGCCATGGCTTGGGTTAGGCGCACCTTAGTTCTCAAACCGACATCTTTGCTTTTGGACACTTAAACAAGTCTTACGCAGCAGATTTACCTAATGCAGTCCCTTGTTTGATATCTTCACTACTGCTTCCATGAGTGTTGATAGTTGATAGAGGCAAAATGAACTCTGACAACTTCAATCTTTTCTCCATTTATCATATTATTTATTGGCCCAGTTGTGAGGATAATTTGTTTTCTTTAACTTGAGATGCAATCCATACTGAAGCCTGGTCTTTGATCTTCATCAGTAAATATTTTAAGTACTCTTTGCTTTTAGCAAGCAAGGTTGTATCATCTGCATATTAATGAGTTTTCCTCCAATTCTAATGCCATGTGCTTCTTCATATAATCCTGTTTACTGTATGATTTGCTCAGCATACAGATTGAATAAGCATTGTGAAAAAAATACAGCCTGGCACACACCTTTCCTGATTTTAAACCATTCAGTGTCCCCTTGTTCTGTTTCAATGACTGCCTCTTGGTCTATGTACAGGTTCCTCATGAACAGAATCAAGTATTCTATCTAGAATGTCCATTCTTCACAACAATATCCCTAGCTTGTCATAATCCACAGTCAAAAACCTTTGTATAGTCAATAAAGCACAAATAAACATATTTCTGGTATTCTCTGCTTTTAGCCAATATCTATCTGAATCTGGCTTGAGTTTCTGGCATTTCTCAGTCTATGTACTATTGTAGCCGTTGTTTAATTATTGTCAGCAAAATTTACCTGTATGTGAGACTAATGGTATTGTTAGATGATTTCTACATTCCTTTGGGCCACCTCTTATTTGAATGGGCATAAATATGGGTCTTTTCCAATCCATTGGGCAGATAACTGTGTTGCAGATTTCTTGGCATCGATGATTATTGAGTGCCTCCAGTGCTATGCCAGTTTGATAAAAGATTTCAATTTGTATTCCATCAATTCCTGAAGCCTTGATTTTTGCCAGTGCCTTTAGTGCACCTTGGACTTCTTCCTTCATTATCATAGATTCTTGATTATATGCTGCCTTTAGAAGTGGGTGAACATTGACCATATATCTTCTTGGTACAGTGACTGTATACCTTCTATCTTTTGATCCTTCTATGTCATTCTATATAGTGTCCATAGATTCCTTCAGTATTGAAAGTCTATGTTTGAAGTTTTTCTTCAGTTCTTTCAGCTTGAGAAATGCAGAGCACGTTTATTCCTTTTTTTTTT